TGAATGGAATGTTCCCCATTATGGCCACTTCTCTCTGTCTGTGTTGTATTTCTCTACCGTGAATGATGAAAGTGCTCTTTCTGACTCCATAGAAACATAGAAACAGAGCGAGTCAGAAGGGACCTCCCGGGCCATCTAGTCTGACCTCCGGCACCAGCTGGCTCTGCTCACGACATGCCCACCATGTGCCTGTCCAGCCTATCCTTGAACACCCGCACCAATGGGGCCTCAACCACCTCTCGTGGAAGCCCCTTCCACACCCTCGGGGTCCCGACTGTCAGGAAGTGCTTCCTGGCATCCAAATGGAACCTGGGTTCCCTGAGCTTTGCTCCGTTGGAGCGCATCCTGCCTTCCTCTGCAGGGGAGAACAGGTCTCTACCCACCTCCGTGTGACACCCCTCACGTGCCTGTATGTCGCCAACAGATCCCCTCTGAGTCTCCTCTTCTCCAGGCTGAAGAGACCCAGTTCCCTCAGTCTCGCCTCATATGGCATCCTCTGCAAACCAGCCACCAACCTTGTGGCCCTGCGCTGCACTGACTCTAGTCTGGCTATATCCTTCCTGTAATGAGGGGCCCAGAACTGAGCACAATATTCCAGTTGCGGGCGCACCAGAGTCATGTAGAGTGGTAGTAATACCTCTCTCGATCTAGAAGCCACACTTCTGGCTATGCAGCCAAGGGTGGCGTTCACCCTCTTGACCGCCGCATCACACGGCTGGCTCATGTTTAGCCTGCATTCAACCAGCACCCCGAGGTCCCTTTCACCAGCGCTGCTCTCCAGCCACTTGTCACTCCAACATCATAACAAACCATCAGGGGATTCAGAAACTGGACAGCAGGTCACTGTTTCTCATGGTGATCTTTGAGGACCAAAGAAACTGTTGCGCGACAAGGTTCAGACAACATGTTGGGCAGGCCGGGAACAAACAACCGTTGCTTGTCTGGTGAGAACCCAGTCCCTCTGAAGTCACTGTCATAAAAATAAACTGTAAGGGAGCGATCCTTAGATCCTGTGAGCCAAATCCCAGGCGTCCGATTGCTCATGTCTCCCAGGGAACCGCAGAACTACATTATGTCAAGTCAGACTCTTGGCCCATCTAGCTGCTGGCGGAAGATGAGAGCTTTTCCCAGCCCTACCTGGAGAAGCTGGGGATGTACCTGGAGGCTTTGCTAGGGATGGATGAGAATTTCATGCAGTTTGGTTTCTGATATGAATGCACACAAGTCCACAAATTCCTTCGTAATTTCTTTGTGCCACTTATCCTCCTCTTTTGTGGCCTCACCTGCTCATCTGTATGATGAGATTTCCACTGTGAGGATAACGGAGAAGAATGAAATTCTAACCCTCTACTTTTGTGCAGGAAGGACAGATCGGAGGGATGGCTAGGAGTTTAAAACGGCACAGGCCACCGAGTGGGACAAGATGTGCTTCTGTACATGGGCTCGCTACTAGATTTTAAATTTTGCAGAAGGCAACTTGATCCATTTCCCACCCAGATCACACAGCACAGTAAGACGTGTGTGTTCCCCGTTATTATTTACACCAACCCTGAACTGTCCGTCGGGGCATGGCTTTCATGTCACCCGAATCTGGGCATGTGCCTTGTTGGCGGGGGAAAATCTCTCGAAAGACCCAGCAACAAAAACCATCATGGGCTCTTTGAGGATGCCGCCACGGTTTGGATGACACGACAGGCACACCTGAGTGCGTAAACAGGTAAATTGTACCCAGCATGTAGTAGGGCTTTAAAAGGCCACCTTGCCTTGCTGCAGCTGAAGTGCTTGTGGAAACCAGGTCAGTTCGGTAGCAGCGCCATTCGCTGGAAACTTTTCTCTCCGAGCCAACTTCTAATATGCCAAAGACCGGATGCAGCCCTATCACAACTTTTTCTACTTGCCAGATAGGTAATTTACCTGGGCAGAAACTCCTTTGACCAGTATGGGTTTTTTTCCTGGTAAAAATGTAAAGGATTTTTTTATCCTGCAATGATATTTACTTAGGAGTTAGTCCCATGGGATAAAATGGGTCTTACTTCCGAGTAGTCATGAGTAGGGTTGCAGAGTGTTCTGCATAGCCTTTCATGTCATTCACACATTGAAATATGTTGACCTATGGATAACCTACTTCAGTTCAGCATATCTTTAAACAGGAGAACATATACCCTCTTGATATTCAAATTGGTGCAAAGTAAATTAATAAAATATGCAGCAGGTAGAGGAGAACTCATCGGCAAAGCGTGTAGTAGGGAAGACCTGTCTCTGTACCCAGAGTTTTAGCCCTTCCATTTTTAAAAATGTTATTGTGCTAAAACCTACAAGAATACCCTATTAAGGGATGAAATTCAAGCCCAGGTGCATTGTGGGCATTGGCCTGCATCAGGACTTTCTGTGCACTTGGAATGACAGGTGCGGGGCAGAGATCTCCTCAGAAGCACCAAGGTTCTTCCCTACTTATTGGTATATAATCCGAGAACCCTGGAAGAGTTGCTGTAGTCACTCCTAGGTCCAGGAGTAATCTTTCTGCTCTGCTCTTTCTCCTCACCTGTGGAACGTGCTCCCCAGAGAGGTCCGCCTGGCGCCATCTTTGTTTTTTGGCGCCAGACCAAGACCTTTTAAGTTAAACAGTATTTTAACAACTTTGAATATTATTTATTGGTTTTAATTCTACAGCCAGGGTGAATCTAGATTTTATGTATACTATTTATAGGCCTTGTTTATTTATTGTATGGAAGCCATCCCGAGAGTTATGCGCATGGGACGGCATACAAAAACTCCAAATAGATAGATAGATAGATAGATAGATAGATAGATAGATAGATAGATAGATAGGGACTAGGACAGGATGGTCCAGAATACCGAAGCTTAACTGGGAGGCAGATGGCCTTGGACCAGTTTCAGTAACACACTGGTGTAATAGTGCCTTGAAGATGTTGCCTCGCTTAATCCGGACGTGATCATGGCCAAGTGGTTGACTATTTCCATGGAATTTTGGGAGGGTCTGGGGGTGGCAGTTCGGTCTCTTGACTAAATGGGCCGTGGCAAAAGGTGGGCTGGGGGCGAGCATGACCTCTTCAAAGCGCCGAGCAGCCAGTTAGGGGCCAGGGCACTGGAAGTCGCCCCCGTGAGAAGCAACGAGCTGTTTCAACGTGGCATTGCAGGACTTCCAGCAGCAAACGTCATGAAGCACCATGTCCTCCTCCTAGCTCAAAAAATGGAAGGAAAAAAGTGAATCCTAGTTCACTTTGCTAGGATTGGTCCCAAATGGAACCCTAGCAAAGCGGGTTTTGTACATGGCCACGATTGCTTGCCTCTCACTATCGTCTGAAAAGGTCACTGTGCCCCCAACCCCATGATCTTATCTGGCCCTTTTAGGACAGGATGTACACAATTTTCTGCAGTGTAAAATTCATCTTTGCATATATTTTTTTTAAATAGAGGAAGGGGAGAAGTGCTCCTTCAGAATTATTTAAAATGTTTTGGCTTGCTTACTGATGGCGGTTCCCCCATTCTTTTTATTTTTAATATAGTCAATAAGATGTGTGGCTTGGTTTACACTTGTCACTCCTCTCTTTCTGACATGGCAAACTGTGGTTCCAACTATTCCTTTGGCAACCGGAAAGCAAACAATTATCTGCATTTTAAGGCTCCTTTTAAACAGAAAGAACAGTTAATCATCTCAGTCAAATTATGCTGCAAGTTGCGACAAAGGGGCGTTTTCATCTGAAGCATTTTCTAGTAATTTAGACAAAATGAGGTTACACTGAAGCGTTTACCTGTGGAAAACAATTGCCTTTTTCTTCCAATTAATTCAACCTCAAACGTCTTTCTGTTCTTCTTCTTCTTTTTAAATTATGGAACCTCTATGACAAATCTCTCCAGAAATCCTCTCTTGGGTGGCTCTCCGAAATCCCAAGAAAGACTGAGCCAGACTTCTAAGTGGGGAGACCTTTCAGTCAGGACTCCTGCGATATTTGCAAGCAAAATACTCTGGCAAGTATGGTACAGGCAGGCCCTGTGCACATGTTTCCAGACTGTTCCACCTCAGAAAGCAGCTTTCCTGGTCCTGCATGTGGGTTGCTCAGCACAGCACTTCTAACATCCAGTACAAAAAAGGAGGCATTCAGGATGTGGCCAGGGACGGTTTCACTTGGGGTGCTGTGCTGAGCAGGGGCTGGACCTGCTGGTCTCTCCAACTCCTCTTCTATGGCTCTAGGTTTCTATGTGAGATGAAGTGACGTCAGTTCTCCTGGGCTACAAATGGAGCTGGTCCCTTACGTTGCCCGAGGACACACACCCATCGGGAAACGCTCGTGGGCGCATGCATGCCATCATGCATGGAGGAAGGTGCTTTGATATTTCTGCATGAGCTCCCGATTAGTTGGCACGTTCGCTTCTGAGGATAGGGAAGCAACTCGGACCTTTCAAAGGCAGTGAGCCTGGCCACCAACACAACCCTGTTTCCCTTTTTCAAAATGTTGCAGCCATTGTCCCTTTTGTTCACAACTGCCGCACCATACCCCAAACAAGGCTAGCGTGGGGCTCGTTGTTGTTTACGGTTGTGGCTATTCTGCTACTGGGCTAGCATGCCTGATTTGTTTGGGCTTCGGTTCTTTGGTGATGACATATATCAGTCCAACACAAATAATGAATTGCGTTGCCATCCGAAGTCTCGAAGAAAGATGCCGCAGCTCCCCTTTCGCCTGCAAAACTGCTTTTCCAAGAGCGCTCTTGGCCTCCCCCCCACCTCCGCCCGCTTCGTAAGAAGATGCTACTACTGTTTTCCTCACTGTTGTAACAAGGCGCGACTGAATTGCCAGCACGCGCGTCTGCAAGGAGGATTTGAGAAAGGAGAGCGACGATCGCCGCTGGTCCTTCTTAGTGGGAAGGAATCCAGATCCTGCGAGGGCCAGTCCACCTTTTCGAGGCGGTTGCTTCCGCGGCTCCTGCTGCCTCTTTCTCTCCCTGGTATTCCGAGATGCTCGTTGCACTGTACTATTTCGGTGGCCAGTCTGGGTGGAAGAATACTGCGAGGTGGCGCGCGCCTGCTCGCTCCCAGCAGCCTCACCAAGCGAATCCAGGGCAGCAGCGCAGGGATCTCTCGCTGCGGCTCTGTGCTGGGGCTGTGACTGTCACTCATTCTCTGATCAGCTCCCGAAAGCAGCCTGGAAGCATCTGGACAAAAAAATAAATAAAAATACCGCACCATTCTGGGGGATTTTGTGATTTGCTTGGCCCCCGGCTCCTTCCTAGCCCGGCAGCAGAAACTCTGGTCCTCACGCGCCCGGGCTGCAACCGAAAGGGGAAATATATGCCTATGCAAGCAAACTTCCTCGCCATCCCGCGGATGACAATGCTTCAAAGCAAGGATCTCGTCTGGTCCCTGCTCTTCCTCGGCACTGCAGGTACGTCGCTTGCGCGCGGGGGCTGCGCCGGCAGCGGGCAAGGCGGCCGTTGCGCGGGGGCTGCGAGCGCCGCACGCAGCCTCGCCTGGACCTGCCCGCCGCTCGTCGCGAGCCGAGCCGAGCCTCGGTGTGCGGCGAGGGATGCGGGCGGCGCTGCCTCCTCGCCCGCCTCGCCCCGGCGGGCGCCTTTCACCGGCTCGCGGAGAATTGCTGGCGGGGGTGGCGGCGGCCGCTTGGGCGGGAGGAGCCGAGGCGAGCCTAGCGCGGGGGCGCCGGGGCTCGGATTGCGCCTTTGCCCCCCGTTCGCAGCCGCCGGCAGGCTGCCTCCCGCTTGATCCTTCGCAGCGGGCAACGCGCGGCGCCCCGGGCGCGGCGCAGGGCAGCGCGGCGCAGCCCCGAGGCGCTCGGCGACGCTTCCCGTGCGCGCGTGCCGGGGGCGTCCGGGCGCGGGGGCTGCGCGGGGGGGCGCCGCCTCGGCAGACCGAAATGCTAAGCCGGACCCCCTCGCCCCGTCCCCGCGCAGCTGGGTGGGCGACCCCAGCCCAGCATCTTTCCGGCGAACAATGGGCTCCTCCGCGGCCAGAGCCGCGCTGCCAGGCGCTGGGGGGCTCCTAACGGACTGCCGGGGGCGAGCCGGAGGGGGCAGCACGAAGGGGCTGCTCCGGGCTGCTGGAGACGAGGCCGGGCGGCGGGGCCGGCCGGGGCGGGCGACGCTCCGGAATGCGCTCGCTGCGCCCGCGCCGCCGCCGGAGGACGCGCGCTCCGTGGCAGCCTTGTCCTCATTCAAACGAGCGTGCAAAATCAAGGGATTGGCTGGAGGCGCGCCCGCCGCCGGGAAGAGGCTCTGCAGACCGCGCAGTTTGACAGGAGAAAGTGGACATGGGGGGGGGGGAGGGCGTGATCCAAGGGCGTGCGCCTGGCGGGGCAACGGCTCGGGCACGGTCGCTGGCCAGCTGCCCGGGAGGGGGGCGCGCAGGTGCGTGCCCCCCCTGTGTGATGCTGAGGCTTCTGCCTATCGCCAGTTGTAGACAATGGCGAGGAGCAGGACGAGGGAGGGGATGCTGCGTGCGATATTTAAATGATGCCGCTCTGTGCCCAGCTGAAGGGGGGGCGCCCCTCCCCCGCCCTCCCCCCGCCCGGCCGTTTGGGTTGTTTATGCCTCCAGTTCATGGGCGAGTCCGCAGCCGCTGCAAATCCTCCGCGCCTGCCTGATTAATTTTTAGTTCAGTTAATTCGTTATTTCTGCCGGGGGCAGATGCGCGCGCGCGCGCGGGCGGGCCGGGGGCGAGCAGGCGGCGTTTTGCATTTCAGGAGGAGGAGCAGGGTCTCGACGCTCTGGCGGCGCGGACGGGGGTGGGGGGGGAGAAAAAGGACGGGCTGCGGCCGAGGCGGAGGGCGTCGCCGCG